AAAGTACCTGTTTAAAATGTGCTGAAACAACAAAATTCTTGTAATTTCTTTGTTTCTTTGTTGTAGTTTATGTTCAGTCCACCTAAATTTGTAAACCATTAAGTTAACTTAATCATTTTTTTGTGTTGGGACAACATGAAGGAGTTGTGTTGGTCCAGCTAACTGGTTAGGGGATTTGCAGTTCCCATCATGCTTTTGCGTGGGGTTGAATTAAAATATGGAAATGTTGACAACAGGAGTAATCTTAGGAGTTTAAAGTCAATAGATCACAGGTGTCAAACTCAGTTCCAAAAGGGCCGCAGCTCTGCACAGTTTAGTTCCAACCCTAATTAAACACACCTGATCAAACTAATTGAGTCCTTCAGGCTTGTTTGAAACTTACAGGTAAGTGTGTTGGAGCAGGGTTGGAACTAAACTGTGCAGGGCTTCGGCCCTCCAGGAATTGAGTTCGACACCCCTGCAATAGATCAAAATAATCTTCACTTCAGTTTGAAGATTTTCATGTAATGCTTTGAGTTGACAGATTGCCACCTTGCAGAAACAGGCACGGCTTATTTAGTTCATTTAGGATAACTTCGAATAAAACTAAGAGACTTTGAAATGTATGACACAATAGACACACAAGATATAATCAGACCTTTGAGTTTAAGTTACATAAAAATACAAATGTATTTCAACTTTATTAGATAAAATCATGGTGGACCAATTCAATTGTATTTAATTGTGCAGTTTTTTATTTTTTTATTGGTAATAAACAAATTTATAGGATGAAAATCCTGTCCTCAATTAAATAGAGTTCATCCAATGAGTGATTTTTTTGAGTGTAATAAACTGCAAGTAATTCTTCTGTTATTTTACAGGCTTAATTCTCTCTTTATTGTTACTTATATAGTTTTAAACTACTAAAGGAAACTGCAGAGTTCAATTTTCAACATCAAAAGTTGACAAAGCAGAGATTAAGGGCCTGAAATGCAATTCATTTCATAATCATAAATTGCAAAACACAGATACATATTTTTTTAATAATCTTTATATCAGTATTTTTATCTGCATGACTGAATGTGTATATAATGATGAGAATAGACCGATATTCACACACTGGAAATGCAGGGCTTCATACGATTCTTTCATGTTGTCCCAACTCAAATTGATTAAGTTAACATAACAAACTGAAGTGAATTGAACATAAAACATTTAAGTTGTCTTAAACAGCTCAAGAATAGTCTTAAGTAGTTTGAACAAGCAGCAAAGCCATTTTGGGTCCAATTTCAGCCAATTTAAAAGCCTTTAATAATGCTGCAATTTTTTGGCCCAGTTTTTAAAATACAATATGTATTTTAAGATCAAGTTCTTTGGTGAACCAACAATTTTTTCTACACTAAATAAAGATTTTTTTATTTTTTTGCTGCTTGGTTAAACTACTTATTTAAAATGAGCTAAAACAACAATTCTTAAGGGCTTTTTTTTTTTGGAGACAACTTAATTGTTTAATGTTCAATCCACTTAAATTGGTAAAAGCCATTAAGTTAACTTAATGGATTTGTGATGGGACATCATGAAAGGATTGTGTGGAACTCAAAACCAACCTTCCCTGTATTAAAAGCCTATTAAATTAGACTTTTAATTCAGTTGTACACTCATACTCACTATGAAGAAGGCACTATGTTTAAGTGTCTGTTTGTTCAGATCACAGCCTGTATACTCTGACCTACTTCTGAATGTTATATTGCAGCTATCTAACAAATGTTGTCATCTGAAAAGGCAGATTTTACTGTGGACAAATGTCATTATGCATTTGGTCACAGTCAAACAACAGAGCACTGTGCATAATAGATCAGTCGGACTACTGTGTGACTCGTGACATGGACATTATGGTTCAGAAATCTAACCTATAATGCCGATCCGATACGCATCTCGATTCAAAGAATACGATTCGATATATTAGCGATACATTTGTGATATATTGCGATGCAATACGATTCACACCCATATCACGATACAAAGCGATAATTCAGCACTATCTATGGCGCACCACTAGCTTCATCCGCACACCTGATACACCGAGTTGTAGTGTAAGTGTACACATCCGCAAGTCCAATGCTATGGCATACTTTATGTATGTTCAGTCCACCTAAATTTGTAAACCATTAGGTTAACTTATTCATTTTTTGTGTTGGGACAACATGAAGGAATTGTGTTGGTCCAGCTACCTGGTTAGGGGATTTGTAGTTCCCATCATGCTTTTTGCGTGGGGTTGAATTAAAATATGGAAATGTTGACAACAAGAGTAATCTCAGGAGTTTAAAGTCAGTAGATCTCATATACGCATCTCGATTCAAAGAATACGATTCGATATATAAGCGATACATTTGTGATGTATTGCGATGCAATACGATTCACACCCATATCACGATACAATGCGATAATTCAGCACTATCTATGGCGCACCACTAGCTTCATCCGCACACCTGATACACCGAGTTGTAGTGTAAGTGTACACATCCGCAAGTCCAATGCTAAGGCATACTTTATGTAGGTCGATTAAATTATGCGCCAAAAACAGGTTGACAACACTTGTTAATAAATTAAAAATACATTTTATATTAAAAATATAAGTTGTATCTTGGAAAAACCGATGCATCTCGCAAAAACCGATGCATCTTGATTTGCTTCCAAAATTTCATTCATCCTCTGCTGCTCTACCGATGCACTCGCATTGTGCACGCGCATGGCCGCGTATCGATACATATCGGTTAATCTTCCCATCCCTAGTATAAAAGCACTTTAATTGAGCATATAACAACCTATTTTAATTTCCTTCACCCAATACTATCGATATACTGGTTTGTTAATTTAATAATTCATTTCAAATGTAAAGTGCTCAGCATAAATGAGCACACTCTCAGAAAAAAAGGTACACGGTGGCACAAATAATGTTCCTAAAGGAACAGTTTTGTACCTTTGTAAAAGTTGTACCTTGTATAGTACAGAAAAGACCTCTTACAATACTGTTCTGAACCTTTTATGGTACAATTGAAATGTAGGTACACGATTGTTCTCATAAAAAAAAGGTACATAAGTCTTGGACAACACCTTCTTTTTTACATTATCTATGAAAATAAATATTACTGGAAAAGCAAAGTGATTTATGAATAAGGAGTCATCATTTAAAAGCATAATCAAACTCATAAACATTAATTATTAAGTTCTACAAAACAAAACAACTGTCAATTGAATGAACTTAAGTGATGACAAAGGTACTGTGGAAAAATTGGAGAAAATACATTGTGGTTTTGAAAATAAATGTGTTTCTGTAACATTTGTGAAAATGTTGTGAAATATTTAACAAAAAAATAGATCTTTTGATTGATGTTAAACTGTTTTTTTATCCTTTATTGTAAATGGAAACGGTGCATTTACACAAATAGACTAGATTTGACACTGCTAAGGTACTAAGTGTCTTGTCACTGAAGTGGTACCTTCATGGATTAGACTGTACTTTTGATAAAGATCTAATATTGTATCTGCAGGTTTTAAAAACCAAAGGGACATTTCAGTTTACTATGGTACAAACTGTAATGGTACAAATTAGTTGCAATTCTCTTACATGAAAATGTACTGCCTTATTGACAAAGGTTTGCACCTTCTAACATTGTACCTTTTTTCTGAGTGTGTACATCCCTTTTTGAAAATAATTGTTTTGTATCAGATTTAAGTGAATATTGCTAATCATTTTTGGTGCATGTAATTAAATGCATTAATGCAAGAGCGTGGTCGCATAACATTTAGAAATAGATAGATAATGCATTTAGCTTCAGCAAAATAAACTTACACTAAGTTTTATATATAGTTTTTTATGTTTCTCCTAATTTTTACTGTCTATTAAAATTTATTTTTATATTTTTCCCAACATATTAAGTGTACTCATTTTTGAACCGTGATTTTAAGTTTGATAGATTAGTTCCAGTCTTGTCTTTGGTGCTGACTAATCTAATGTACAGTTGAAGTCAGAATTTTTAGCCCCCCTTTAAATTTTTTTTCATTTTTTAAATATTTCCCAAATGATGTTTAGCAGGGCACGGAATTTTTCACAGTATGTCTGATAATATTTTTTCTTCTGGAGAAAGACTTATTTGTTTTATTTCGGCAAGAATAAAAGCATTTTTTAATATTTTAAACATCATTTTAAAGTCAAAATTATTAGCCCCTTTAAGCTACATATTTTTCAATAGTCTACAGAACAAACCATCGTTATACAATAACTTGCCTAATTACCATAGTTAAGCCTTTAAATGTCACTTTAAGCTGTATAGAAGTGTCTTGAAAAATATATAGTCAAATATTATTTACTGTCATCATGACAAAGATAAAATAAATCCGTTATTATAAACGAGTTATTAATTATGTTTAGAAATGTGTTGAAACATCTCTTCGTTAAACAGAAATTGGGAAAAAAAATAAACAGGGGCTAATAATTCTGACTTCAACTGTATATGCACAAATATATTATTATAAAGCATTCCATAGAAATGTATATTAATTTAAAAGAAAGATCTGTGAGGGGTGTACTTATTTATGCTCAGCACTGTAAAATAAACATATTTATAGCAATTATTGTAATAATAAATTATGAATCATACACCACCACATTTAGCGCATGAAATACACATTGAAAAAATGTGATTTATTGGATTTGCTCATTTTTTTTTAAAGATAAATGTTCGCAAACTATTTATATGGGCTAAATTTAAACAAATTAAGTTGAACGTTACTAAATTTAGTTTGTTTAAATTCAGCCCCATATAAATTGTTTGCAAACACTTACCTTAAAATTTGTAGTAAATCCAATGGATTTTTTTTTCCGAGTAAATTACTATATAACTAAATATTCTTATAAGAGAAGTATTGTTTATAGGTAAAAAATACAAATAAAATAATATAAATTAGCACAGAGCCACAGTGACACCTGGGGACAAAGTGAAGAAACACATCACACTGCATTTGTAAATAAAGATGATTTATTTTATGAATAATAACATAATCAACACAATTTTAGATCAATTTAACCAAAAAGAAAAGCTATTCAAGTGTAAACAAGAGAAAAGAATGTTTTACAAAATAAAAATGATACTAAAAGACAAATTACTTGAACAAATGTTAGTAGGAAAATAAACGTATTAATCAGTAAACATCAGTCATTCACTTTAGGGCTCTTCTGTTTTGTTTAGTACCTGTAGAAGAATTAAGAACAGGATTATGTTATGTACAGCGCAAATATTATAATATGTGTTATTAAATAATATTTATATTATATACAGCATTTCTCTACTGTTACCTTATTAAAGAGCTTAATGCCCAAGTAGTTTGTTGCCATGTTCTTCAGGTTTTTTCCACCACCTACTTTACAGCGCACATATCCATATAGGTTAGCCCACTGCAGCACAACTCCCATGATCACAACCGCCTATGCGCACAAACACACACATTTACAGATACAAAGACACACACGTCCACAAAGACAAAAACACGCGCACACACACATACAAACAAACGTGCAAACACAAATGCACAGATGCAAACAGACACACACAAAGACAGATGAACACACAGACACACATGCACCCACACAGATAGACGGAAACACACAGACGCACACAGACAAAAATGATGAAAACAAACACACACACAAACACACACACACAGAAGCAAGCACAAACATGCGCACACACACAGACGCAAGCACACAGACACATGCACAAACATGCGCGCACACAGGCAAAAACACACAAAGACACAGTCAAACAAACATAAACACGCACACACACACAAAACAGACGCATATACGCAAGCACAGACAAACAAACACACACACACAAAAACACACACAGACACAAACACAGAAACACACACACACAAACATGCACGCACACACACAGTCAAACAAACACAGACAGACAAGCATGCACACAGACAAAGACACAAACACACGTGCAAGCAAGCACACAAACAAAAACATGCACACAAACACAGTCAAACAAACCCATAGACAAACACACACACACAGACGCAAGCACACAAACAAACACGCACACAGACAAAAACACACAGACGCACACAGACAAAAATGACGAAAACAAACACACACACACACACACACACACACACAGAAGCAAGCACACAGTCAAACAAACACACACAGATGCAAGCACAAACATGCACACGCACAGACGCAAGCACACAGACACATGCACAAACATGCGCGCACACACAGGCAAAAACACACAAAGACACAGTCAAACAAACATAAACACACACACACAAAAACAGACACATATATGCAAGCACAGACAAACAAACACACACACACAAAAACACACACAGACACAAACACAGACACTGAAACACACACACACACAAACATGCACGCACACACACACACAGTCAAACAAACACAGACAGACAAGCATGCACACAGACACACAGACAAAGACACAAACACACGTGCAAGCAAGCACTCAAACAAAAACATGCACACAAACACACAGATACAATCAAACAAACCCATAGACAAACACACACACACACAGATGCAAGCACACAAACAAAAACATGCACACAAACACACAGATACAATCAAACAAACCCATAGACAAACACACACGCACAGACCCAAGCACACAGACACATGCACAAACATGCGCACACACAGGCAAAAACACACAAAGACACAGTCAAACAAACATAAACACGCACAAAACAGACGCATATACGCAAGCACAGACAAACAAACACACACACACAAAAACACACACAGACACAGAAACAGAAACACACACACACACACAGTCAAACAAACACAGACAGACACACAGACAAAGACACAAACACACGTGCAAGCAAGCACACAAACAAAAACATGCACACAAACACACAGACACAGTCAAACAAACATAAACACGAACACACACAAAAACAGACGCATATACGCAAGCACAGACAAACAGACACACACACACAAAAACACACACAGACCCAAACACAGACACAGAAACACACACACAAACATGCACGCACACACACACACACAGTCAAACAAACTCAGACAGACAAGCACGCACACAGACACACAAACAAAGACACAAACACGCGTGCAACCAAGCACACAAACAAAAACATGGACACAAACACACAGACACAATCAAACAAACCCATAGACAAACACACACACACAGACGCAAGCACACAAACAAACACGCACACAGACAAAAACACACAGACGCACACAGACAAAAATGACGAAAACAAACACACACACACACACACAGAAGCAAGCACACAGTCAAACAAACACACACAGATGCAAGCACAAACATGCACACGCACAGACGCAAGCACACAGACACATGCACAAACATGCGCACACACAGGCAAAAACACACAAAGACACAGTCAAACAAACATTAACACGAACACACACAAAAACAGACGCATATACGCAAGCACAGACAAACAAACACACACACACACAAAAACACACACAGACACAAACACAGAAACACACACACACACAAACATGCACGCACACACACACAGTCAAACAAACACAAACAGACAAGCATGCACACAGACACACAGACAAAGACACAAACACACGTGCAAGCAAGCACACAAACAAAAACATGCACACAAACACACAGACACAGTCAAACAAACCCATAGACAAACACACACACACAGACGCAAGCACACAAACAAACACGCACACAGACAAAAACACACAGACGCACACAGACAAAAATGACGAAAACAAACACACACACACACACAGAAGCAAGCACACAGTCAAACAAACACACACAGATGCAAGCACAAACATGCACACGCACAGACGCAAGCACACAGACACATGCACAAACATGCGCACACACAGGCAAAAACACACAAAGACACAGTCAAACAAACATAAACACGCACACACACACAAAACAGACGCATATACGCAAGCACAGACAAACAAACACACACACACAAAAACACACACAGACACAGAAACAGAAACACACACACAGTCAAACAAACACAGACAGACACACAGACAAAGACACAAACACACGTGCAAGCAAGCACACAAACAAAAACATGCACACAAACACACAGACACAGTCAAACAAACATAAACACGAACACACACAAAAACAGACGCATATACGCAAGCACAGACAAACAGACACACACACACAAAAACACACACAGACCCAAACACAGACACAGAAACACACACACAAACATGCACGCACACACACACACAGTCAAACAAACTCAGACAGACAAGCACGCACACAGACACACAAACAAAGACACAAACACACGTGCAAGCAAGCACACAAACAAAAACATGGACACAAACACACAGACACAATCAAACAAACCCATAGACAGACACACACACACAAACATGCACACATAGACAAACACACACACAGACGCAAGCACGCAAACAATCAAGCACAGACAAAAACACACAGACACACACTCGTGCACAGACACATGCCCACAGACCCACAAACACATAGACACACACGCACAAACACAAATACACGTGCACACAAGTGCACAGACGCACACACATGAACATAGACACATACACCAACAAACACGCAGACACAAACACACAAGCGCAATCGTACACAGACACATGCACGCACAAACACATATACACAAACAAGTACACAGACTCATGCACACAAAACACACATGCAGACACACATGCATCAGAGCCTAGAGCTCTCCCACAACATATAGATGCGTTCGAGAGAAGCTGAACACTCACCAGCCACTTTATGTTGAAGGAGAAAAGAGAGCTGAACACAAAGAAAACCCAAAACACGGGACACAAGACCAGACCAAACCAGAAAACCCGGGACTCAGAGTTCGAGACCACATTCTTACTGCTCTCCTATGAGGAGACGGGAATAAAAGAAATGATTTAATCAAAAGCTGAAATTCTCTCATGTTTTTTTAAATGAGTTGATTTACTCTTTTTCTGTGGAATACAGTGGGAGACATTTTAATGCAGCTTTATTCCCCCTATTAACATGATGGTTTACAATAGACAAGCTCCAAAAAAGGACAAAGCAACTCCATAAACGCACGCCCGATGAGCCTGTGGGAATAGGCTGAATGGAAATTAAGGTTTGAGATGTGCGGCAGAGGAGATTTTTACTGTTTTATTATGCGCTGTAAATATGTTTTTCAACTTGTTCTCCTCACAAAAACAGATCATGTGACTTGAGAATGCTTAAATGAGGCATTTTAGTATTCTTAGAACAAATCAATACGGGTTTGGATGGAATGATCACAGAATAGAATGTTTGTTCTATTAATTTTGGAACATCCTGACTCAAAAGAACATACAATGGGGGAAATAAGTATTGAATGTGTCATGTTGTCCTGGGAGTGATATTTCTAAAAGTGCTGTTGTAATGGAACTGAACCAGATTTTGGTAAAAACTATAGGTGGGCATGGATTTTTTTTAATCTAGATTAATCTCACTGTAATCTTGGAATTAATCTAGATTAAAATAGCTCATTTGAATTCTGCCGAAGGCATTCAGAATATGTGTGCTACCCAAATAATGACTAAAAGTAAGGAACGTGTAAGGGTTTCTCAAGCCAGGTGGCGCATTAGACCATGGGCTTATCTCCTGTTTCCAAAATGAATCACAAACTGCTTGAGAAACTGTTTTACTATGATAATGAAAATAAACAATGTTCAATAAGATGTGCTTGTGTTTACCAATGGTTTATTCATTTAAACACATATTCTGAACTGTAGGCCTACATAAGCTCCAAACAGATTTTGATCACCTTAATCCGACGTAAGTCATAACTGAACTAAACAGAAATGGAATTAAGACGTGGAGTATGCAGATATTAGTGGCATTATTGACAACGCAACCAAACTATTACCGGCCTGTAGGACTTTTCACCATATTTTTCAACAAGATCCACACACACAGCTGTCAGTAAAGAACCGCGCACACACACATCGCAAAATGCTGACGTTTTTTTCTTTCTATTTGGCGTGCGTTACTAAATTCCATAACACTCTCACCAGCCCTTACTCCTTATTTGCGTCTAATACCCCAGTTTGTCACAGGGGCATGAAAGAAATGTTCATGAGTGAAACTGCCAAACTGCAGTTAAAGTCACCCAAAATTACAGGAAACTTTCATGAAAGCACTTCACGTAAACACTTTAATTATATTATTGTCTATTAAGGCAATTACTAATGTTAAGGCAATTCAAAAAGATCACAGATATCCATGTAAGCGCGGTCAGTAGTGTCTTCGAAGTATTCCAGAAGGGCATCCTGATGATTTGATTCGAAAGGGCACTTTTTTGTCAGACGGCTCACCGGTTTGACTTTCAATCCCCGTCATTCATTTTAAAAAGCACCCGGTTCATTTTAATTGTGTGTTTTACTCGAACGCATAAACTCTACAGGTGCCTGATAGTTAAGGCTGATTTATACTTCTGCGTCAAACGCATGTGTATGCTACGGCGTTGACGCATAGCTCTTGGTTATGGCCGTCGGCATCGCAGACGTGCACCTTTCAAAAAATTTAACTACACGTCACAACAACGCGTAACGCAAGCTCTGGTATTGGTCGGCTTGGTAGCGCTGACGAGTCTGGGCGGGACCGATAGCCGTGTGTATGGCGCGACCCCGATGGAGCGATTGTTTACAAGTGTGGATTCCCGTGAAGGAGCTCCGGATGGAAAGTTTTGTTTTGTGTTTACCTCATAGTTAAAGTTGTTGCACGTCCGCCGGTTCCTGCCTCAAAATGAGCAAGGAAGTGTTAATGCAGACCAACAGAGACAGCGCGCAGAAGTATAAATGCACAGCTAGCGCGTTGCATGCGCCATTACGCCGGTCACTTGACACAGAAGTATAAACCAGGCTTTAGATGTGGAGCTAACTTTAATCAGATTCACTCTAGTGAACTGCATCCAAGTTAGCACATCACGTTTGATGTGGTAATTTCACAGTAGGACTACGCACAGGTTCGAAGACTCGTACTCGCCATCCAACGGTGCAATTTGTTCAGGTATACATCCGCGCTAAAATATCAAGGTGAAAGTCTCCATATAATGTGCATAGAATAGACCCAGTTCCCATCCCAACTTTGAGATAAGATTAACACCGATATTTTTTTATCACCCGATAAGAGTCTTGCGATAACGTAGTACGTTAACGTTGATAACTGCCCACCACTATTAAAAACCCAAACAATCCAAACATTTAAATAAAATAATACTAATAATACTAACAAATACAACAGGGTTTTTAGCAAATAATATTAATAATACTAACAAATACAGCAGTATGTGCTTGAACCCCTAACGAAATAAAAAATAAGTTGTGTAATAACAATGAAATGACACAAGGATAATGTAATGAACTTCCGAAACATTTAATACTTTATATAAAGGGCTTTTTTGGTGATGGCAGCTTAAAGACCCCTCTCATATGGAGACTGAAGTCTCATGCATTGCTCAGGTGTGAGTTTTTCCACAGACTTCAACAGAGTGTAAAAATCTTGATGGTTCTGTAGGTCTCGTCAATCAAATCTGATATTTAATGAGTATTTTCTATTGGATTCAAGTCAGGTGATTGGCTGGGCCATTCTACAGCTTAAGTTTCATTCTCTGAAAGCATCTAATAGTTTCCTTGGCTTTGTTTTGGATCATTTTCTTTCTGGAATGTCCACCCGGGTTTCATTTTCATCCTCCTGCTAATGTAGATGTTGGACTGAAGCAGCTGATATTAATTTACAATGATGAAGGGAAGAGGGTTGCAGAGAAACTACTGAGAGATTTCAGTTGCGGTGTCGACTTTTTTTGCCTTTGCACACCTTCCTTGTTCATGTGTTCAATACTTTTCCCCTGCGTCATTTCATCTTATAAACATAACTTCATTTGTTAACTAATTAGATTTGTTTTCTTTAATTGTCACCAACATCCGGTGAAAATTTCAAGTCAACTGCACCTTTAGAAATATGTTTTCTGAGAAAACTGGTGACGCGTTTAATATTTATTTCCCCCACTCTATCTCTCTCTTTAAAATAATGACACAACTTGAAGGTGTCGCTAACACCGACAGTGACAAAACAGGACCATTAAACTTTGATCGAGACGTGATAAAAGTTAGCTGCAGCTATATATTAAAGTTGCACATTACCTCTGTAATGTTAGTCACGATCGTAAACTCGACTTTTATTATGCGCTTACTTTCCAAAGTTGCAGATATTGGTCATTTCCACCTGTAATACAGTAAGGTGTCGAGACTCACCGGTCTAGATTCAAACATCCAATGACTGCGACCTTCTTCATCAACCTGATTCCACCATCTCAAGCCCACCAGCAGCCGTCCTGTCACATTCTCAAATAGAAAAAAAGAGAGAAACACGCTGAAATTTACCATATAAAGAGTCTTTACAGCATTTTGCTTCTATATTCTGAGTCAAAGAGGATTTAATGTTAATAAATGTTTACAGATTTTTATTCGGTTAGTTGAAACATACACTACCTGACAAAAGTTTCAAAGCCTACCCAAGTTTTAGGAACTACATATAATAACTTGACTTCTAGTTGATCATTTGGTATCAGAAGTGGCTTATATGAAATGCAAAGGCCTCTAGATTACATTCATTTTAGCAAAATAAAATAGGATCATGCCTTGATTTTTAATGATTTAATTAGGACAGTAAGGTCTGACTTTGCTTAGGCAAAAGTCTTGTCACTGAACAGAAATAATGTCCAGTATATAATATAAAGTCATGCTGCAGTGGAGAAAGAATGAATATAGTGTATGACTCCCATGAGCTTGGAGGACTGCATCCATACATCTCTGCAATGACTCAAATCACTCATTAATAAAGTCATCTGGAATGGTAAAAGAAAGTGCAGGACTCCCAGAGTTCATCAAGATCCATTGGATTCATCTTCAGTGCCTCCTCCTTCATCTTACCCCAAACATGCTCAATAATGTTCATGTCTGGTGACTGGGCTGGCCAATCCTGGAGCACCTTGACCTTATTTGCTTTCAGGAACTTTGATGTGGAGGCTGAAGTATGAGTAAGAGCGCTATCCTGCTGAAGAATTTGCCCTCTCCTGTGGATTGTAATGTAATGGGCAGCACAAATGTCTTGATACCTCAGGCTGTTGATGTTCCCATCCACTCTGCAGAGCTCTCGCACAACCCCATACTGAATGTCACCCCAAACCATGATTTGTCCTTCACCAAACTTGACTGATTTCTGTGAGAATCTTGGGTCCTTGCGGGTTCCAGTAGGTCTTCTGCATTATTTGTGATGATTGGGATGATGTTCAACAGATGATTCATCTAAAAATTCTACCTTCTGCCACTTTCCCAAATGATCAACTAGAAGTCAAACTATTATTGGCTGCTCTTACAACTGGGATCGACGACAAGACTTTTGTTAGGTAGTGTACTTGGCTTTAATTAATGTCATAATGTTTTCAGCCAAAATGTACAACTGTGTAATAGAAGAAGAAAGTACTAAAATAAAATAAAAAATTAGCTGAACTAACTTTTTACTTAGGGTTAAAGACAAAATTTGTAGTCCTCCTGTGAAATCTGACCTCTTTTCAAAATGTTTCTCATTTGCTCTTTAACTGATTTTGTTCCCAACAGATTTAGATTTAATAGACTTATTTTGTCTTATCTATAATGACAGTACATACTATTTTACCAGCTATTTTGTGAGATACGGGTGTTCAGCTTAAAGTGCAATTGAAAGAAATAACTCAGTAAATTATGTTAATTAGGCAAGTCATTGGACAACAGGGGTTTGTTCTGTACCCTATAAAATTAAAATAATTATTTAAGAAGCTAATAATATTGCCCTAACATTTTTTTTTCAACAACATAACACTGCTGTTATTCCAGCCAAACAAAAAATAGTACTTTTTCCAACAAAAAAAAGTAGTAAAAGTACTAAAAAGAAGTACTAAAATAGCAAATGGAAAAATAAGAAATATTGTGCCAAAAGAATGACAGTTGCCATATGAAATCAAAGGAACATTGATTAAGTAAACTTATGATTTCATGTTGACTCCATGCTCACCTTTACTGTCCAGAAGTCACATGAGAGGAGTAAAATGATGGTAACCATGTTGGCAATAAAACTTCGGCTGAGTAACTCACAAAAGAGGTAAATCAGGATGGCACTTGTGCGGAAGAAGAGGTGAAAGAAGCAGGCCAGAGGATGTCTGAGGGAAAAAAACAACATGTGACTTACTGTATGGAATTATTTAAACCCAATAAATGCTAATTCTAACTTAAAAGCTAAAGAAAATGCTAAAAAAAAATTTAAATAATATAAAAAGCAGTGCATTGAGACTGTTGAGTTTTACTGGTCCGGTGTAAAAAAAAAAAAAAATTAATAAAAAAAAAAATAAAAATAAATATATATATATATATATATATAATTATTATATATAATTGTTATTTTCTAACTACTATTTTCTAACTGTGTATATATATATACATATATATATATATATATATATATATATATATATATATATATATATATATATATATATATATATATATATATAGTTAGAAAATAAGGCCTTTTTGTGTGTTAAAAAGAAAATAATAATATTGTAACAATAATATAACCTATATTAATGTAAAAAAATAATTATATATATATATATATATATATATATATATATATATATATATATATATATATATATATATATATATATATATATATATCTGAGTATATATATATTAGAGAAAGTGCCGAGAAAGTGTCAAGAGAAGTTGAATTTACCTTATGGCAAGAAAGCTATGTATAATTTGCCTCATTTCCTAACTCAAATTTGAAACTCACTTGATGTTTGATTTCTTCTCTCTAAATGCATTTTCGTCCTCATGAAATAATGGCACTTCACCCTGAGAATCCTTCAAAATAAACATTGAATCAGTCAAGAATTCAGCTCTACACAGCCGGCAGTTATGTTTGTATAGTTACAGTTTCCTTAATATTGCATCTTCTAGAGATAGATAAACTTAATATAAATAGGGATCATAACATATTTCTTTAAAGGAAATATAAGTGAAAACTCACCTGTCGGATCATGTTGACGCAGGTAGTTTTATTTCCTGATGACGTGTATGTAAACAACACGTGTCCGCTCTATGGGAAACAAACCTTACTGATAAAGAATTTCATTGTCTTCCTTTAGGGGGCGTTCGGTGGCTCATAATTCAGTTCATCACATGTCATCCAATGACTTTTTTTTATCTTATTGCAGATGTTTTATCACATTATATAAACTACGAAAAACGTTACACGACCTACCTCAGAAATCTTAAAATGTTTATTTATTTTTTTCTAATTGATGATTTTCGTATCACTCAAAAACGATTGTGATTGGTCGGTTACCTGAATTGACGGTTGGAAAAATCATCTTATGACAACTCTGTCGAGAAAAAGAAAGAAAGAAAGAAAGAAAGAAAGAAAGAAAGAAAGAAAGAAAGAAAGAAAGAAAGAAAGAAAGAAACTAATTCAGGAATGAGAACAACTCAAAAGATTCAAAGTAAGTCAACATTCCATTTGTCTGGTCAGATTTACACAATATGACGTTATTTACGTAAAATCGTGACGCTAATATAATATCTTATTATCATCATGTCTTATTGTCATCCCTTTATCACAGAGCTGGTTGATAACATTGTTGACATTTCAGCTTGGAATTATAAGCTTCTATCTGCATTCTAAATGAGCTTCAAAGTTTTTGCATTCCATATAGCAAACAATATGTGTGTAACGTTAAAAAAATTTTTTTCAAATAAAAAAGTTATAAATTGTAAACAACTTATAAATAAACATCCCATAAAGTAAATAAGCTATCATTTAATAAGAATATGTCAATGACTTAATTTTGACAAAAATGTCAGACAGAACCTTATAATTCTAAGGTGACGATTTGTCTTTTATGAGCCATAGTTGAAATATATTATACACCATTTTTAAATATATCCAGTTGTATACAAACAAAACTATATATTTTATGTCAGGAACAGAGATTAAAATGCATATTTGGATTATTTATCCTTTATTAGACGCAGTGGCACAGTGAGTAGCACGTTCGCCTCAAAGCAAGAAGGTCACTGGGTTGCTGGTTTGAGCCTCAGCTCAGTTGACGTTTCTGTGTGGAGATTGCATGTTCTCCCTGTGTTCGTGTGGGTTTCCTCTGGGTGCTCTGGTTTCCCCCACAGTCCAAAGACATGCGGTACAGGTGAATTGGGTAGTAATCATAGCTGATATTTTGCTGTATATGTATAGCAAAACATCTGTTTACTATACATGAGCAGGTAAAGTAGCATACTATACTTTATCCAGTGGTTTGATCATAATAGTTTTAACTAATCATTTACATACTGCTCAACACTAGTGTACTTCATCTAAATTCGGACCCACTTACATTCATTCATTTAATTTCCTTCCGCTTAGTCTCTATTTCAGAGGTCTCCACAGCGAAATGAACCGTCGAACCCACTTACAGTAGTTGTCTAAATATTAGTTTTTTTATTGATCCATATAGAATTAGACTTGTTAGGCAATTTAACTGAGGAGAATGTGGACCAAGTTTAACTTAAAACTTTTAACTTTTAATCGTCAATAAATGTGATTGAGGACCTTTGTGGACTTCTATCAGAAATACATTTAAACAGGTTAGCAATAGGTGAAGCTGCTGATGCTGTTTGTGAAGCTGTTTATTAAGCCTCTTCTGAGATTTTGACAGATTTAAGGTGTTTTATTTCATTTGATTTTGTCTAAGGCTGTGATTGAAGTCAGTTTTGAGTCTTGTGCTGTCGCCTCACAGCAAGAAGGTCGCTGGGTCGCTGGTTCAAACCTTGGCTCAGTTGGTGTTTCTGTGTGGCATTTGCATGTTCTCCCTGCCTTCGCGTGGGTTTCCTCTGGGTGTTCCGCTTTCCCCCACAGTCCAAAGACATGTGGTACAGGTGAATTGGGTAGGCTAAATTGTCTGTAGTGTATGAGTGTGTGTGTGAAAGTTTGTGTGGATGTTGCCCAGAGATGGGTTGCGGCTAGAAGGGCATCCGCTGCGTAAAAACTTGCTGGATAAGTTGGCGGTTCATTCTGCTGTGGTGACCCCGGATTAATAAAGGGACTAAGCTGACAAGAAAATGAATGAATGAAAATGTGAATATGTTGAGATTCAGTGACAAGTGCATTTATTATGAGCTTATATTAGTGTAGAATTTCACAGTGACTTGTTTTAACTCTAGAATACAGTCGAAACAAATAATCATTGAACAACTCATAAACTCAACATTTCGAGCTGAAACAAAGAAGATCTCTAAGCTGAGTTGACTCATTTTTAAGTTTAACCAACTTGAAGTGTTTTACAGTATGATTATCTTTTTAGATGCTTGCCTAATTGCTTTTTATTTATTAAAAACGTGCATAAACACCACACCATACTGGAAAACACCATTTTCCTGTCCATCAATTAAAATGTTTGGGCTTGCTGATGTTTTTGGGTAAAGACATTGTAGTGAAATTGGAGTAATTCAGATGTCAGTGGTAAATGTAGCAAAATGGTGGAAACTATTTAGAGTGCCTTTCTTCGGTACCATTGTATATATACTGAAGTAGCATGGTATTACAACCCGGCAACATTGAGTAACTACATTTAAGTCAGCATGAAACAAAAGTTAAGATTGTCTTTTTTTCGCTGTCATGATGTACATCCACTTGAAATGGTTTCTGAAATGAGAAAAAAGGGCAGTGCATGATTTCTTCCTTTCGGAACCGAATGGTTCGTTGGAGCACACATACGTCCAGAGAAGGAAAGTAACTAAGTAAAAATACTTTGTTACTGTACTTGAGTAGATTTTTCTAGTATCAGTACTTTACTCCGCTATTTATTTTTTTGACAACTTTTTACTTTAACTCCTCACATTTTTACACAAGTATCTGTACTTTCTACTTCTTACATTTTTAAAATTGGTCTTGTTACTATTGTTTTAATGTGTTTTGTGAAATTTGAACGCCTTTTTGATTCAATCAATCTATTTTTGCCATTGCGCGCATGCATGCTGCAGTGAATGGCTTTTTCAACCTATGATCACACGCCATAACGCTTGTTTATTAAGCTTTCCACGGGAACAACAAGAATGTGAACTTGCATGTGACAGGGAGTCAGCTATAAACATGACTGATGTCATGACTGATGTCATGTTTATAACGGGTAATAAGATGCTTTTTGGTCAATCGGATCACAGGTAAGCAAGACACATTTCTGTTCAAATCTGGCATTTAAATGGGGTTGCAGTCTTTTGTCCATTTCCGAACATGTACAGTACAGTACTTCTCTGATCTTTCAATCTTATGCCGCAAAAAAAACTTTACAATCACATGCTTTTTGTCTGCATTTGTACAATTGGTACTAAAGCAATGAAATAGTTTATGAGTATGTTATAAATTTATTGTCTTTGTTTCCAACGAGTTCATATTTCGTAGTATAGAAATGTAAGTTAGATGTATAGATGTAGATGTATAGTGTAATTACTACCGCGAAACTAAAACAGGGCGTGGTAATGAATACTTTTTACTTAAGTACACATTTCATGCCGTACTTCTTTACTTTTACTTGAGTACAAAAGTGTAGTCAGTACTTCAACTTTTACCCGAGTTGTTTTAAACATGAGTATCTGTGTCATGACTGTCTGTAACCACCAGAGGGCACTGTAGTTCGCTAATGAACTCTGTGAGCGAACTACAGTTGCCAAAGACTACAGCTGCGTCCCAAATGGCACACTATGCACTCATGCACTATGTACTTATGCACTTACACACTCAACAGGATAGTATATGTATGTAGTGTCGTCCCAAATGGCACACTAATGTTTTTTTACTAAGCGGAAATTCAAACCGCTTCCCTGATGACTTTGTCGGTCGCCAAATCAGTGAAATAAATGACCAAACTATCAAATAAAACCTGCCGTGAGTATAACCGCGTTCACCATCGGGAGGCGCTATAATCACTCTCGTAGGAGAATTTTGCTTTCACCATCCAAAATAAATAGTTATCCAACATGTGCGCCCGATAGCTCCGCCTCTTCCGCTACGCAAGCAAACCTGCGGTCGTTGTGTGCATGAAGTGTCCATCATTCCACACTTCATTTTAGCGGCTGAATGAGTGCATCATCCGGGTAATTAAAGTGCACTTATTACTTTTAGTGTTTTCAGTGTGAACGCACTACTTACACTATTTATACTACAAAATGGCGTAGAATAGTGCATAAGTATGCGATTTGGGACGCAGTTTACAAGTTCATACATACCTCACGCACACACCTGGAACCCACTTAAACTGATTGCATCACAGCTGTCTCCATTTTCCTGTTGATTCATGGACTATTTATACACCATTCACCCATTGTTTGTCAGTTCGTCGTTCGTTTTGTTTAGTATGTTGTTCCTGAGATGTGTTTTGTATCCTGCCGTAGTTCCTGAGCCTTGTTCTAGTTATTCTGCCATAGTTCCTTGTTTTGTTTGTTTGTTGTTATTTTGTTACTTTGAATTTTTGGATATTCTTGGTTTTTCTGTTGCTTCATGATATCATCATTAAATGCAATTGGATCTAACACCTTTTTGTCTCCGTCCTGCCAACATATCGTGACAATCTGTACTTCTACTTGAGTAAAGTATCTGTGTACTTTTGCCATCTCTGCATACCTTATTTATAACAGCACAAAAATATACATATGAAAATAAGGAAAGTACATTTTGATTTCATGCCGACTTTAAGGGGAAACATATTGAGAGAGAAAGAGAGAGAGGTAATGTTGCAATACACTTTTTTTTCTTTTTTTGCTTTTGCTATGTCATGTTTTCGTGAAAGACAAAAGTACGTAATGGAGGCTTAACAGCTGGTCCATTAAATGCTTTACAGTCGTCTAAAAGTCTGCTTTTAGTGTCATTGTGGTAGATGTTTTACTGACAAAACAGCTTGTGAATTTTTCACCAAGTTAAATCATGAGCGCTCATGTGACAGTCAGCGGCAGACCAAAGGTCGCTCTGCTTTTCTTCTACCCATTCCTTTCATGATGGCTCTTGGACACAACGTTCTGCTTTTCTTTTGCA